ACTAGAAGAATTTCAATCTTTCTTCTTTCGATTTGCAAAATTTCAATCCAATCCCTCAAATATTTTTCAAAAAAATAAAATAAAACGTCCCTCAATGTCGTTTCTTGGAAATTTGATTTTTTCCAAAATGACATAGACACACATTTGTTTGTGGATAACTGGCCGACCAATGAGATTTCAGTTTGCCAGAAGATGAACAAATCGGCCCTAAATAGTATCCAATTTATTCACACAAAAATCAAATATCCTTGTTTCTTAAAAATTTGATTTTTCCAAAATGACTCCAGTACTCATTATTATTATATTATGACTTACAACTTTGTCAATTTCAATCCGATCCTTATGTAATTAGGTTTGAATTAAGGATAATTGAATCCTCTACAAATCTCTCTTGGGTAGTTTCAACGCTGTTTCAGTAGTTTTCAAGTTGTCAAGCTTCAAAGTGTTTTTACTTGGATTTTTTTCAAGGTGGATGAGCTTTTTAATTTTTTTCATAAAATTCAATCCGTCCTCTCTCCATTTGCGAAATTTCAATCCAATCCCTGCAAAATTTTCCTTAAAGCAAAATAAAACGTCTCTCAATGTTGTTTTTTGGAATTTTGTTTTTTTCTAAAATGACATTAACACACACTTTTGCTCACAACTTTCTCAATTTCAATCTGATCCGGATGTAACTAGGCAAGAATTGAGGACAATTTAATCCTTTAAAAATTTCTTTCGGGTAGTTTCAACGCTGTTTCAGTAGTTTTCAAGCTGTGAAACTTCAAATTGTGTTTATTTGGATTTTTTTCAAGGTGGATGAGCAGAAGGATATTTTTATTTTTTTTCATAAACTGCAACCCGTTCTCTCTCCATTTGCAAAATTTCAATCCAATCCTTGTAAAAATTTTCCTCAAAGAAAAATAAAACGTGTCTCAATGTTGTTTTTTGGAAATTTGATTTTTCCAAAATGATTCCAGTACTCATTATGACTCACAACTTTGTTAATTTCAATCCAATCCTTATGTAATTAGGCTTGAATTAAGGACAATTGAAGCCTCTACAAATCTCTATTTGGTAGTTTCAACGCTGCTTCAATAGTTTTCAAGCTGTGAAGCTTCAAAGTGTTTTTATTTGTATTTTTATCAAGGTGGATGAGCAGAATGAGATTTTAAATTTTTTTCCACAAACTTCAATCCGTGCCCTCTCCATTTGCAAAATTTCAATCCAATCCCTGCAAAATTTTCCTTAAAGAAAAATAAAATGTTTCTCAATGTTGTTTTTTGGAATCTTTGATTTTTTCCAAAATGACATTGACATACACTTTTGTTCACAACTTTCTTAATTTCAATCTGATCCAGATGTAACTAGGCGTGAATTGAGGACAATTGAATCCTCTACAAATCTCTATAGAGTAGTTTCAATGCTGCTTCAATAGTTTTCAAGCTGTGAAGCTTCAAAGTGTTTTTATTTGGATTTTTATCAAGATGAATGAGCAGAATGATTTTTTTATTTTTTTTATAAGCTTCAATCCGTTCCCTCTCTATTTGCAAAATTTCAATCCAATTCCTGCAAAATTTTCCTCAAAGAAAAATAAAACGTGTCTCAATGTTGCTTTTTGGAACTTTGATATTTTTCCAAAATGACATCAACACACATTTTCGCTCACAACTTTTTTAATTTCAATCCGATCCTGATGTAATTAGACATGAATTAGGGACAATTGAATCCTCTACAAATCTCTATTTGGTAGTTTCAACGCTGCTTCAATAGTTTTCAAGCAGTGAAGCTTCAAAGTATTTTTATTTGAATTTTTATCAAGGTGGATGAGCAGAATTAAATTTTCAATTTTTTTCATAAACATCAATCCGTTCCCTCTCCATTTGCAAAATTTCAATCCAATCCCTGCAAAATTTTCCTCAAAGAGAAATGAAACTTCTCTCACTGTCGTTTTTTGGAACTTTGATTTTTTTCCAAAATAACATTGACACACATTTCCCCTCACAACTTTGTTAATTTCAATCCGATCCTTGTGTAATTAGGCTTGAATTAAGGACAATTGAAGCCTCTACAAATCTCTATTTGATAGTTTCAACGTTGCTTCAATAGTTTTCAAGCTGTGAAGCTTCAAAGTGTTTTTATTTGTATTTTTATCAAGGTGGATGAGCAGAATGAGATTTTAAATTTTTTTCCACAAACTTCAATCCGTGCCCTCTCCATTTGCAAAATTTCAATCCAATCCCTGCAAAATTTTCCTTAAAGAAAAATAAAACGTGTCTCAATGTTGTTTTTTGGAAATTTGATTTTTCCAAAATGACTCCAGTACTCATTTTGACTCACAACTTTGTTAATTTCAATCCGATCCTTGTGTAATTAGGCTTGAATTAAGGACAATTGAAGCCTCTACAAATCTCTATTTGGTAATTTCAACGCTGCTTCAATAGTTTTCAAGCTGTGAAGCTTCAAAGTGTTTTTATTTGTATTTTTATCAAGGTGGATGAGCAGAATGAGATGTTAAATTTTTTTCCACAAACTTCAATCCGTGCCCTCTCCATTTGCAAAATTTCAATCCAATCCCTGCAAAATTTTCCTCAAAGAAAAATAAAACGTGTCTCAATGTTGTTTTTTGGAAATTTGATTTTTCCAAAATGACTCCAGTACTCATTTTGACTCACAACTTTGTTAATTTCAATCCGATCCTTGTGTAATTAGGCTTGAATTAAGGACAATTGAAGCCTCTACAAATCTCTATTTGGTAATTTCAACGCTGCTTCAATAGTTTTCAAGCTGTGAAGCTTCAAAGTGTTTTTATTTGTATTTTTATCAAGGTGGATGAGCAGAATGAGATTTTAAATTTTTTTCCACAAACTTCAATCCGTGCCCTCTCCATTTGCAAAATTTCAATCCAATCCCTGCAAAATTTTCCTCAAAGAAAAATAAAACGTGTCTCAATGTTGTTTTTTGGAAATTTGATTTTTCCAAAATGACTCCAGTACTCATTTTGACTCACAACTTTGTTAATTTCAATCCGATCCTTGTGTAATTAGGCTTGAATTAAGGACAATTGAAGCCTCTACAAATCTCTATTTGGTAATTTCAACGCTGCTTCAATAGTTTTCAAGCTGTGAAGCTTCAAAGTGTTTTTATTTGTATTTTTATCAAGGTGGATGAGCAGAATGAGATTTTAAACTTTTTCCAAAAACTTCAATCCGTGCCCTCTCCATTTGCAAAATTTCAATCCAATCCCTGCAAAATTTTCCTCAAAGAAAAATAAAACGTGTCTCAATGTTGTTTTTTGGAAATTTGATTTTTCCAAAATGACTCCAGTACTCATTTTGACTCACAACTTTGTTAATTTCAATCCGATCCTTGTGTAATTAGGCTTGAATTAAGGACAATTGAAGCCTCTACAAATCTCTATTTGGTAATTTCAACGCTGCTTCAATAGTTTTCAAACTGTGAAGCTTCGAAGTGTTTTTATTTGTATTTTTATCAAGGTGGATGAGCAGAATGAGATTTTAATTTTTTTTCCACAAACTTCAATCCGTGCCCTCTCTATTTGCAAAATTTCAATCCAATCCCTGCAAAATTTTCCTCACGTCGAACAATTAGAACCTTAAATCATCCCTCTCTTTTTGTCGGTTCGACTGTATCAATTTATTTTATTTTTTTAATTACCGTTAATACTGTGTTGTTTGTTTTATTTTTTGTTTTTTTTACTGTCTACATTATGAGTCGAGTCCACAAGTGCCTATTATGTATTATATTAAATTGTTAACATGTTCCTTACCACCATTTTAATTTGTACACTGGAGTGATAACTTGAATGTAAGTAATATTAGCTGTTAAAACTATTAAGAACTGTGTATTGTAACTGTGGTTTTATTTGTTTATTTATTTATTTATTTATTGTATGTTTTGCATTTGTCATTTATTATCCTAATTTTTAGTGCCCTGAGGATGACCTAATTTAGGTCGAAACGTCGGCAAATACAAAATTTTTCATCTCCAACGCTGTTTTATTGACCTGAATCCAACTTAAGAAAACTAATCGAAAAATAAAATGTTTCTCAATGTTGTTTTTTGGAATCTTTGATTTTTTCCAAAATGACATTGAAATACACTTTTGTTCACAACTTTCTTAATTTCATTCTGATCCGGATGTAACTAGGCGTGAATTGAGGACAATTGAATCCTCTACAAATCTCTATTGGGTAGTTTCAACGCTGCTTCAATAGTTTTCAAGCTGTGAAGCTTCAAAGTGTTTTTATTTGAATTTTTATCAAGGTGGATGAGCAGAATTAATTTTTAATTTTTTTCATAAACATCAATCCGTTCCCTCTCCATTTGCAAAATTTCAATCCAATCCCTGCAAAATTTTCCTCAAAGAGAAATGAAACTTCTCTCACTGTCGTTTTTTGGAACTTTGATTTTTTTCCAAAATAACATTGACACACATTTCCTCTCACAACTTTGTTAATTTCAATCCGATCTGAACTGAATTAGGCTCGAATCAAGGCCAATCGAATCATCTACAAATCTTTCTTTCACAGTTTCAATGCAACTTTAAATAATCAAGAGCTGAGATATTTTTATTTTGCTATTGATAAGAAGATTGTTGGAGGAAACAACACAAGGCCAAGGAAGAGATGGAATAAAGTAGTAAAGCAAATACAACAAAAATGAAAATTCTGCACGCACTTTCCGCAATGTAGATATAAGGAATCGGGAATTCAGAAATCACCTGCTCTAAGACTTGAGAGCTTTATCATGTGAATTTGTTCTTGAAGTGGATAGAACCAGAAAAAGAAGACGATCAAGGGCCTCAATTTGAAAAAAATATAGCAAATTTGCCAGAGATTTTCTCAGAAAATTATGTATGGCAGATTCAAAACCACTTGCACAAAGTATCTATCCCAATCTCACTGTTATGTTATGTGTATTCCCTATTATTGATAATCATATAATAGTTTCTTAACTATTTTGTTAATCACTCGATGATTTTTACTAAAAATTCTTACCTTGATTCTCTTGTCAGACCCAGTTTTCTTCAATGGCGGTCTAGTGTCGATCGGAGTTTGGGTTTTATCAACTTTGCCTTGCGACAGCTTACGTAAAGGCGGCGGCAACCATTTCCTCCTAAAACAAAAAAAAAATCAGCCTAATCTTTCAAACGAATCAAAACCACTAACAAAAAATCATAAATATACATAATCACAGCCTCAAACTGATATTGAACAGAATCCATGTTTGTGACTATCAAAACGAAAGGACAAAATTAAACTGATTGAATATTGGGGCCCTTTCCCAGGCCCAGCAACGTATATATGGGCTTTTTATAGCCACCCAGAGTTTCATGTCACCTTTTGTAAATTCATCTCCCTCTGTTAGCATTATATAAATCAATATCAAACAACTCAAAGGATATAGAGTCACGATGAAATGTCAACAAACAATAAGTGATTTGCATTTTTATGTAGGTAATAATTACTGACCCATCGTGAAGAAGATCGTCCATACTTTCGTATTGGCACTTGCATTTGCACAATCTTTGAAAAAAACGTTTACACTTGCCCATTTTTGCACAACACTAAGGCGTACCTTTACCAGAGACGATTGCGAGAAACAATTAATAATTTTAGGAAAAATAAAGATAAGATAAGGCATATTGTAAATGTATCTAGATGGAATTATGATGCCTTTAAGATTATTATTTGGCACTTACTTACCCGCTAAAACCTCGCCTCTTGTTCACTGGCGAAGAAGTGCTCACCACAGAAGTATCATTTTGCGTTGTCGATTCTAAAACAAAACAAAAAGTTTCAACAATGTTAACCTCAATAGATAGGTACGATTTCGTAAAACCCACATTTCAGTTTTCTTATCAATGAAATTTGCATTTTTTTTTTTTTTTTAGTTATTTTTGAAATCTATTATTGAAGTCAAGGCTGAACATAATTTTTGATATAATAGATTCAGCATCTATTTTCACAATGAAATTATTTTAAAAACATGTTTTGGTTGTGTGGGAGAGGAACTTGACGCAATAATGCGGCACGGTGACTTCGTGCACGTGTTTTGATTGATTTCCGTAAAGGAAATGCGTGAGTTTTGAGTTTTCATTCATGGTGAACTTTGGAAATGTTATTTTTGAGAGGAAATTTTGTGCCAAGCCAATAATTGATTCTTCGTGGATAAGCTTTATTTTGAGTTGTTGTTGATCAGACTGGAGGAATATGTTCAATTTCCAAAGTTCCATTAGATCATCAACAATCACAAAGTGTTTTCAGTTTTTAAAGAACTTTCTCTTCAATCAATCTTCCAGGAAAGTTGGTTTAGCTTCATTTGGCATTGGTGATTTTAGCTCTTCTTCAATTGGTCAAAAATACCTAATGGTTTGGTTGCATTTTTTCAGTATTTCCAGGAATTAGGATTTGTTCCAAAAAAAAATTATTTTTCAATAACGATTACAGAACTAATCAGTGTTGCCAACCGTACTATAATTATAGTATTTGTACTATAATTGAATGGTTATGTACTATGTAGTATCAAAGATCATTATAGTACGCCTAAAATACTATAATTATGCATAAGTAAATTATTTAGTTTTTTACTGGAAAATTCCTTATTCCAGTTCTCCTTAGCCTAATTTGTTGGCTGCAAGCCCTTAATCTATTCACTTCTTAATCATAATTTGTTGCCTAATCCTACTTTCTATTAACAACAAATCCTAATCCTATTGGTTTCCTAATGTGTAAGCCCTTATGTCACCTTTTTTTTTTTCAGCTGAATAGGCTCTGTCGTTTTAGTATTGATAGAGCATGTATTTTTTGACAGTTGAAATTTTAAATGTCAACTGTCGAAAGTGTTAGTTTAGTGTTTTTTTGGTGACTGGGTTTACACTGTCAATTGTCAATTTCATTGATTTTCCTGAGCGGGTTCTTTTTTTATACCAAAAAAGATGTTAACGAACGCACCCCTATTTAATTTTTAAAATTATTTTTAATTTTGTTGTTTTTCGTGGGAAAAATTTGAAATTTTAGTGTGATGCGCCCCTGACTTTTCTCTTTTTCTCCAGAAAATGTCATAATTTTCCCTTGAATAGTTTTCTAGAAAAAAAATAAAATATTAAATAGTGCATTTATGCCTAATTTAGTTGATTTTCATTAATTTCCAATGGGTATATTTTCCACTGGAAAAATTTGAAATTTTACTATAATACGTCCCTGACTTTCCTCTTTTTTTCCAGAAAATGTCATAATTTTCTCCTGAATAGTTTTCCAGAAGAAAAATAAAATGTTGGATGGTGCATTTAGGCCTAATTTAGTTGATTTTCATTAATTTCCAATAAGGTTATTTTCCACTGAAAAAATCTCAAATTTTACTATGATACGCCCCTGATTTTCTTCTTTTTTTCAAGAGAATGTCATAATTTTCCCTTGAATAGTTTTCCAGAAAAAAATAAAATGTTAGATGGTGTATTTATGCCTAATTTAGTTAATATTCATTAATTTCCCATGGGGTTATTTTCCACTGGAAAAGTTTGAAATTTCACTATGAGACGTCCCTGACTTTCCTCTTTTTTACGAGAAAATGTCATCATTTCCTCCTGAATAGTTTTCCAGAAGAAAAATAAAATGTTGGATGATGCATTTATGCCCCATTTAGTTGATTTTCACTAATTTGCAATGGGGTTATTTTCCACTGAAAAAATTTGGAACTTAACTATGATACGCCTCTGACTTTCTTCTTTTTTTCCAGAAAATGTCATAATTTACCCTTGAATAGTTTTCCAAAAAAAAAAAAAAATGTTAGATGGTGCATTTATGTCTAATTTAGTTGATTTTCATTAATTTCCAATACAGTTATTTTGAATTTGAAAAATTCGAAATTTTACTATGATACGCCCCTGACTTTCCTCTTTTTTTCCAGAAAATGTCATAATTTTCTTCTGGACAGTTTTTATATCTAAATTAGTTGATTTTCATTAATTTCCAAGGGGGTTATTTTTTACTGGAAAAATTTGAAATTTTAGTATGATACGCCATTGACTTTTCTCATTTTGTCCAGAAAATTTCATAATTTTTCTTTGGATAGTTTTCCAGAAAAAAAAAAAAGTTAGATGGTGCATTTATGCCTAATTTAATTGATTTTTATTAATTTCCAATGGGGTTATTTGTCACTGGAAAAATTTTGAAACTTAACTATGATACGCTCCTGATTTTCTTCTTTTTTTTTCAGAAAATGTCATAGTTTTCCCTTGAATAGTTTTCCAGAAAAAAAAAAATGTTAGATGGTGCATTTATGTCTAATTTAGTTGATTTTCATTAATTTCCAATGGGGTTATTTTTTACTGGAAAAATTTGAAATTTTAGTATGATACGCCCCTGACTTTTCTTTTTTTTTCCAGAAAATTTAAAAATTTTCCCCTGGATAGTTTTCCAGAAAAAAAATAAAATGTTAAATGGTGCATTTATGCCTAATTTAGTTGATTTTCATTAATTTCCAATGGGGTTATTTTTCACTGGAAAAATTTTAAATTTTAGTATGACACGCCCCTGACTTTCTTCTTTTTTTCCAGAAAATGTCATAAAATGTTAGATGGTGCATTTATGTCTGATTTAGTTGATTTTCATTATTTTCCAATGGGGTTATTTTTCACTGGAAAAATTTGAAATTTTAGTATGATACGCCCCTGACTTTCTTCTTTTTTTCCAGAAAATGTCATAAAATGTTAAATGGTGCATTTATGCCTAATTTAGTTGATACTCATTAATTTCCAATAAGGTTATTTTCCACTGGAAAAATTTGAAATTTTACTATGATACGCCCCGGACTTTCTTCTTTTTTTCCAGAAAATGTCATAAAATGTTAGATGGTGCATTTATGTCTGATTTAGTTGATTTTCATTAATTTCAATTGGAGTTATGTTTCACTGGAAAAATTTGAAATTTTAGTATGATACGCCCCTGACTTTCTTCTTTTTTTCCAGAAAATGTCATAAAATGTTAAATGGTGCATTTATGCCTAATTTAGTTGATTTTCATTAATTTCCAATGGGGTTATTTTTCACTGGAAAAATTTTAAATTTTAGTATGACACGCCTCTGACTTTTCTCGTTTTGTCCAGAAAATTTCATAATTTTCCTTTGGATAGTTTTCCAGAAAAAAAAAATGTTAAATGGTGCATTTATGCCTAATTTAGTTGATACTCATTAATTTCCAATGAGGTTATTTTCCACTGGAAAAATTTGGAATTTTACTATGATACGCCTCTGACTTTCATTTTTTTTCCAGAAAATGTTAGATGGTGCATTTATGTCTAATTTAGTTGATATTCATTAATTTCAATTGGAGTTATGTTTCACTGGAAAAATTTGAAATTTTAGTATGATACGCCCCTGACTTTCTTCTTTTTTTCCAGAAAATGTCATAAAATGTTAAATGGTGCATTTATGCCTAATTTAGTTGATACTCACTAATTTCCAATGAGGTTATTTTCCACTGGAAAAATTTGAAATTTTACTATGATACGCCCCTGACTTTCTTCTTTTTTTCCAGAAAATGTCATAAAATGTTAGATGGTGCATTTATGTCTGATTTAGTTGATTTTCATTAATTTCAATTGGAGTTATGTTTCACTGGAAAAATTTGAAATTTTAGTATGATACGCCCCTGACTTTCTTCTTTTTTTCCAGAAAATGTCATAAAATGTTAGATGGTGCATTTATGTCTGATTTAGTTGATTTTCATTATTTTCCAATGGGGTTATTTTTCACTGGAAAAATTTGAAATTTTAGTATGATACGTCCCTGACTTTTCTCGTTTTGTCCAGAAAATTTCATAATTTTCCTTTGGATAGTTTTTCAGAAAAAAAAAAGTTAAATAGTGCATTTATGCCTAATTTAGTTGATATTCATTAATTTCCAATGAGGTTATTTTCCACTGGAAAAATTTGAAATTTTACTATGATACGCCCCTGACTTTCTTCTTTTTTTCCAGAAAATGTCATAAAATGTTAGATGGTGCATTTATGTCTGATTTAGTTGATTTTCATTATTTTCCAATGGGGTTATTTTTCACTGGAAAAATTTGAAATTTTAGTATGATACGTCCCTGACTTTTCTCGTTTTGTCCAAAAAATTTCATAATAGTTCGATCTCTGTGTGTCCCACCAGGACAATTGGTGGTCATCTGTCTCCAGCAGGATACTATAATTTGTACAAATGTACTATAATTTTATAGCGTTCTATACTATAATAGTTGATCTGCAGTTGGCAACACTGGAACTAATTCCTCGATTCCCATCATTTAGTTTCTGATTACAGGATAGCTGCATTCCATCACTAGTGGAAAAATATTCCATTATTATTATGCTGGAATGATTATTTGCCTGATGTGGCTGTTTTAGAAATAGATGCGTTTGTCTTCAACTACAAATCCAGTCTTCTAGAAAATTGAGTTTTGTTCAATTATTGTTAAGTCACAGTCCAAATTCCTTGAAAAAAAATTTTTTCGTATTTCGCTACACCACCTGCATTAGGTGCACTAAGTGTAGGTGGTGCAGGAAATACTAAAAATGTAAATTGCAAGAAAACATTTTATTCAATAAAGTATGCATGTAAAATATCGTGGGTAATAACTATTATTATCCCTGTTTCCTTTCGGTGTCGTGTCCATTGGCATTATTACCGCATCGATAATTTTTCAGTAATTTTGCCTTGTTCGTTATGAGGAAATTGTAAATTATTATACACAGAGAGAGAAGTAGGTATAGTTTTTTTCCTGGAACAGACTGAAGTT